GCGTTTTCTCACTCTATTTCCATTTATCAGCTTCTGTTAATAAAGTCCCTTCCCAAGAAGGCCTTCCCTGAGCTGTGAGTCATTTTAGGAAAACTGGGAAAAAGTCACTTTAAAATCTCAAAACATACTTGCATATTTGCAACCAGATTTGTATGCTTGGCTAAACATGTAGACATTCAACAGATTTCAGCCTTCAAATTTAATTTAACATGAATATCAGTTTTGCTAAAATAGTTGTTATTTTGCTCACTTAGCTAGTTTCTCACACAAGTACAGTCGAATTTCACACACACACACACAAAAATGAATGAAAATCTGATACTCCTCGTGCAGTATGTGTAAGTTGTGTTTGCTATTGGAAAGCTCATCCTGTGGATGAAGAAACAGTAAGCTGGTTGCTATGATTTAGTTACTATGATTTGAGTTGGTTTTAAATGAAAAATATTCCATGTTTTATAGAATGTAAACTTCCTGGAGGGCAAGGATGTTTTTTTTTCACTACTACCTTGCAAGCGACTAAAATAGTAGTTGGCACATAGTAAGCACTGAATAAATTTGTTAAATGAGCAAATAGTTGCCATACTGGATTGATAGAGAAGCTACATAAAGGCCATCACACTGTGGAGTTTAAACAGTGACTTTAAGTCACTCTCCTGAGAACTGTTTCATTTGTGTTTCTACCACTTCCTCTGTACACAGAGGAGTAGCCAAACCTACTCAGGTTTGGAACACATGATTTGAAAAATAATTCTAGGATAGGGTTTGGTCTTTTGGCTTTGGGGGAAGTTGTGCAGATAGAAATTTTTTAATCATACTTATCCAGAATTGATAATTATACTTTCCAGGGAGGAGCAAGGAGAAATGAGTCTGCTCTCTTGGCCAGATGTGATTATAAAATAATGCAAGCGACATCAGAAAGAGAACTCTGGAAGTAGGAAGAGGAAAACAAACCATCTAGGTACACCCAAGACTGGAGGGGGAACATAGTTGCAGGATGTCTTACAACCTCCCACCCAGCAGAAGAAGGTGACCCAGGCATGGTGTTTCCTGACCCTCAACCTAGCAACATAAGGGAGCCCAGGATGGCTCATTCCTACCCCAGATGGAACTGGAGTCCTGCTGATAATGCCAGTTGACTCTGATACCATCGGCAAGGGCAATATATAGGGATTCCCCCACTGACAAGTATCCAGGGGGGACACTCTACTTCCCTGCCAAGCCTGAGACTCCCCTCACTTGCTGAGAGACCCTGGGCAGCTAAAGGGCACTGGCAAGGGTGATCCCACCGCAAAAGGGCCTGACCTAGGAAGTCTTTGCGTCACCATGGGCAAGATGCTCCCTTCCCCCAACCTAGAGGCACCATGTGACCTGGCCTTGGGAAAACTTTTTCCCCCTGGAGTAGCACCAACAAGGACCACTGGGACCCCTAGCAGCATCAGATAAACCAAACAGACCAAAAGGACACTGCAAAGGCTCTGAAAATTAAACTGCCACTGAATCATAGACCAAAATATAGGCTAGGACCTACATGCTAAACATAAAAAGGGTGACGTCCTGCTAAAATAAAACATTAAAATAGGACGCAGAATCTCCTAACATAATAGACAAAAATATCCAGAATACAATGTAAAGTCACCCATCATACCAAGAACCAAGAAAATCACAACTTGAATGAGAAAAGACAGTCAGGGGCTGGCCCCGTGGCTGAGTGTTTAAGTTTGCACACTCTGCTTCAGCAGCCCAGGATTTTGCTGGTTTGGACCCTGGGTGTGGACATGGCATCACTCATCAGGCCATGGTGGGTGGTGTCCCACATGCCACAACTAGAAGGACCCACAACTAAAATATACAACTATATACTGACCCCCCATATACTGGGGAGGAAAAAAGCAGGAAAAAAAAAAGATTGGCAACAGTTGTTAGCTCAGGTGCCAATCTTTAAAATAAAAAAGAAAAGACAGTCAGCTGATGACACCACCAAGATGAATCAGATGTTGAAATTATCTGACAAGGATTTTAAAACACTCATCATAAAAATGCCTCAACAAGTAATTACAAATTGTCTCGAAACAAAAAATAGAAAGGCTCAGCAAAGAAATAGTTAACAGAAAGAGTTTTTAAAAAGTAACAAAATAAGCATTATGGAATGTGCATTACATCTCAATTTTTTAAAAAAGAAATAATGGCAATTGTATAACTGAAAAATACAATAACCAAAATAAAAACTCATTAGATAGGTCCAGTAGTAGAGTGGAAATGACAGAAGATAGGATCAGTGAACTTGAAAATAAATCAATAGAATGTACTCAATGTGAATAACAGAGAAGAAAGACTGGGAAAAAAATGAACCTCAGCCACCTGAAAGACAATAACAAAAAAGCCAGCATTTATATAATTGGAGTTCCAGAAGCAGAGGAGAAAAAAGAATAGAGCTGAAAGAATATGCAAAGAAATAATGGATGAAAACGTCTCAAATTTAGCAAAAGATAAAGGTTCAAGGAGCTGAGTGAACCCCAAACAGGATAAGCTGAAGGAAATCCATACCAAAACAAATCACAATTAAACCTGTGAAAACTAAAAACAAAAAAAAGTCAAAAGCAGCCAGAGAGAAGTGACATTACCATAGAGGAACACAATTTGAATGATGACAGATTTTTCATCAGAAACCACGGGGACCAGAAGCAGGTGACACAACATTTTTCAATTCTGAAAGGAAAGAACTCTTTTTTTTTTTACTTTTTTTTTTAATTGAGTTATTGATAGGTTACAATCTTGTGAAATTTCAGTTGTACATTAATGTTTGTCAGTCATGTTGTAGGTGCACCATTTCACCCTTTGTGCCCACCCCCCACCCCACCTTTCCCCTGGTATCCACTAAACTGTTCTTAGTCCATAATTTTAAATTCCTCATATGAGTGGAGTCATACACAGATTGTCCTTCTCTCGCTGGCTTATTTCACTTAACATAATTCTCTCAAGGTCCATCCATGTTATTGCAAATGGAATGATTTTGTTCTGTTTTGCAGCTGAGTAGTATTCCATTGTATATATGTACCACATCTTCTTTATCCATTCGTCTGTTGCTGGACACTTAGGTTGCTTCCACGTCTTGGCTATTGTAAACAGTGCTGCAATAAACATTGGGGTGCATAGGACTTTTGGGATTGCTGACTTCAAGCTCTTTGGATAAATACCCAGTAGTGGGATGGCTGGATCGTATGGTAGTTCTATTTTTAATTTTTTGAGGAATCTCCATACTGCTTTCCATAGTGGCTGCACCAATTTGCATTCCCACCAGCAGTGTATGAGGGTTCCTTTTTCTCGGCAACCTCTCCAACATTTGTTGCTATTAGTTTTAGATATTTTTGTCATTCTAACGGGTGTAAGGTGATATCTTAGTGTAGTTTTGATTTGCATTTCCCTGATGATCAGCGATGATGAGCATCTTTTCATGTGCCTATTGCCCATCAGTGTATCTTCTTTGGAGAAATGTCTGTTCATGTCTCCAGCCCACTTTTTGATTGGGTTGTTTGATGTTTTGTTGTTGAGTTGCGAGAGTTCTTTATATATTAAGGATATTAAGCCTTTGTCAGATATATGACTTGCAAATATTTTTCCCCAGTTAGTGGGTTGTTTTTTTGTTTCAATCTGAAAGGAAAGAACTCTTAACTGCAAATTCTATATTCATCCAAATGACCCTTCAGGAATGAAGAGGAGATAACGATATTCTCAAATACAGCAAAACTAAAAGTATTTGTTGCTAGCAAACCTACCCATAAAGAATGGCTAATGAAAGTTCTTCACACAGAAATGAAATGATGAAAGAAAGCATCATGGAGCATCAGGAAGGAAGAAAGTACAGTGAAAAGAGCAGAAATATGTATATATACAATGAACTATGCTTCTCTTCATGAATTTTATAAATCACATTTGATGATTGAAGCAAAAATTATAATACCAACTGATGCTCAAGACAAAGATATTTAAACTTGGGGAAGGTAAAGGGACCTAGATAGAAGTGAGACTTCATTTTGCTTAAAGTGGTAAAATGCTGATACCAGTAGACTGTGATAAGTCGTGTATGTATGCTGTAATACCCAGAGCTACCCTTACAAAAAGTATATGAAGAAATGCTCTTAAAACCACTATAAATCAAGATGGAATCCTAAAAAATATTTGAGTAACCTACAGGAAAGCAAGAAAGGGAAACAGAGGAATGAGAAGCAGAGGAGACAGAAAACAAATGATTAAATGGCACACAAGCTCTACCATATCAATAATTATCTTAAATATAATTGGTCAAAATACTAATTAAAATGAGGAGACTGGCAGAGACTCACAAAGAGAATGTACCTTAATGATATAATTCAAAAGGACAAAAGGTTGTAGGAATGAAGATATTAAAAATAACAAAATTGGAAGCAGAATAAATGTCCAACCATAAGACTGGTGAGGTAAGTGATTGTGAAACCAATCAATAAAACATTATGTAATTATGCAGCCACTTTGAAAAACAGTTTGGCAGTTCCTCAAAATTTGAGTGACCATGTGACCCAACAATTCTGCTCCTACGTATATACCCAAAAGAACTGGAAACATATGTCCACACACACTGGTACATGAGTGTTCACAACACATTATTCACAATAGCCAAAAAGTGGAAATGACTGTGTTCATCAATTGATAAATGGGTAAACAAAATGTGTATATTAGTACGATGGATTCAGCCATAAAAAGGAACAAAGTACTGATACATACTACAACGTAGATGAACCTTGAAAACATTATGCTAAGTGAAAGAAGCCAGATGCAAAACAGCACATACTGTGCGATTTCTTTTCATATGAAATGTCTAGAATAGGCAAGGTAGATTAGTGATACCCAGGGAAAGGGGAAAGAGGAGAATTGAGAGGTACAGGATTTCTTTTTGGGGTGATGAAAAAATTCTGGAATTAGACAGTGGTGTTGGTGGTACAACTCTGTGAATATACTAAAAAGCATTTAATTGTACACTTAAATAGGGTGAACTTTATGGTATATGAATTGTATCTCTCTGTCTCTGTTTCTCTTTGTCTCTATGTCTCTCCATATTTATATAAAACTTTATGTAGCTTTTTACAGTTATAGTTAGGGAGACCAGGTAGTGACAGTGAATTAGGCTTGTGTGAAATAAAGAGAGGAAGAGGCACATTTTTATACATTATATCCTATGATTATAACTATGTGAAATTATTCATCTAAAAATAAATTGGAATAAAATAATAGATGAGTTACATTAGAGTAATTAAATTCTAGTTTTTCTTGTTTATACTTTGCAAATAGAATGTAATATTGTTATATTACCTTTATAATTAAAAATACTCTTTCATTCAAAACCAATACTTTATTCCAAGTCTCTATCATAGAGACTGATCATTGTAAACTAGCTTTCAAGTCACTACTTCGTTTGCGTTCCGGTGGCATGTAATACAGTCTCCTCCCCAGACTTTTTTCCTCCAGGACAGAGGCTGTATCTTACCCACTTCTGTCTCCTCGGCACCTCTCTCAGATGCTGACAAATAGTGAGTACCTAATAAAGAATTGTCCAATTAATCTGACTTGAATATGAGTATGCTGAGTATTATAGCGGTATCATCATGGGCTTTCATGACTTGGGGAATTGCTGGATTAATTCTATCAGTCAACCTAAACAAGAAAAGCACCATAGCTGTTACAGGAAAAGTATTTCATACCAGAATTGTGTAAATAACCCCAAGGGGATTGTTTATGCCTCCTCTAAACAGGGTCTAGGAATTGTTGACAAAGCCTGATTTAGCAATACTTCTGTAATAAATATAGCCCAAGCCTATAAAAGAAAACAGACAAAGAGACAAAGGCTTTGGTTTTTATAGATCTTAGAATAATGGCCCTGAAAAAGACTGAGAGGTGAGGTCATCTCATCCTTCTTCCTGCCCTTGATGACAACACCTTATATCTTCCCACAGATCTCTGTGGCACTTCAATTAAGGAATCTCCTGGGAGTGATTGCCCTTTGTAAGGCATCAGCCTTGTTAAAACACTCCTCCCATCGTAAATCACATCGGTGAAGCAGAGCCTCTCGTCCCCAGATAAGGTACCTCTCTGTACCGCTTCTATTCATATCTTTCCAATTAAAAGCACAAGAGGCAGAGGTCCGGAGCACACCAAGTACCCTAAACTCTTCTTTCCTTTCCCCTCAATGGCGACAGGCTCACCTCACTTGCTCTTTTCCTCTCATCAAACACAACCTATTGTTAGAAAAATGCATTTCCCTCTTTCCAAAGATCAAATCCAATACAAGTTGCAATTGTTTACCACCCACATCTCTACAGTCACTCAAAATGAAGTGTTGGTGCCATCTGGCATTTTCCTTTGTTTAAAGTACAAATAGTGTCTAAATCGTTCACTTCATTGCCTTGTTCAGGGAATTTTAGGAGTCACCCAGTAGAACACTTATTTTGTTTTTCTTAGCTTACCTTGGAAAGGGATGTCAGGAGGGTTTACCCATGGTCTTCACCAAAGATCACCTCCACTTCACTGCTTCAGGCCTGCGTGGAAATCAAGTTTGGATTAATCCAGGGGAAGTGCTAAACTCCTGGTGTCAAGAGCTGTTGGAGGTCGAGAAAACTGTATTGTATTTCCTCACTGGCTTTTGGAGCCATTAATCGTAGCAATTTGTGTTTCCTCTGCTATGTGCGATATCCTTAACCAGTTCTTGTCTCACAATGACACGAGACCCCCCAGTACATATTTTATGTTTTCTAGAACATATGACCTTATCTTGAGTTAATATGTAGATTGTGTGTGTGTGTGTGTGTGTGTGTGTGTACATGTGCCATTAGCACCCATGTGCTCCTTACCTGAAACCCTATTCTTCTATTACATCCCTGCCTCTGGATATGAATTTTCTGATTATATTCTCTTTGTTTATATAGGGATTATTTTACTTTTGAAAAACATTCTGAGAAAAGCAGAAAAGTCCTCCAAACTCTCAATAAAAAACAATGTACCTTTTCAGGAAAATCTCTGCCAAACCTGAATTATTCAAATGGTAATGATTAACTCATAATTCTTTTTCATTCTGCTCAAGGATAATTGCAATCACTGTAGTAATGAGCATGGAGAAGAAATGCCTGGATTATGCTCCCTGAGTCAAGACCACACTGCATTCAAAAAGATCAATTCATCGCAGTAGTGGATTTGGTAATTTCCTAGGAGGTAACACATTTCCCATAAAAGGAGCAAATGAATAGTTTTAAACCTACATTAATTTGCATAATTATTTTATGTAATCCTTCATGGAAAATGAATAGACAATTGGAGCAATATTGTATTACTCAGAAATTTTGTAGAAAATCATGAAAGTCATATGTTAATGTACCTCTTAGGCAATGTTATGTCCCTGAAGAAGAGAATGTGTTAAGTGTCATAAAGGTTAAAAGAGATCATTATATTCACAAATGTTTCCATTAACATTAAAAACACAGATTAATTCTACAGTGTTCTGTTTTAAACCGATATGAAAATGAAAAAGGACTAAAGAAAGTAACAAAACCAGACTGAAGCTATAAAATGAGATGGGAGCTAGAATATAGGGTATGAGAATGTTGCCATTCTTCCTCCAAAGCGCTTCTCCATTTCAACCTTCTCTCCTCATTCTCAGGACTCTCTCACTGAGCCAGCCCTCTAGATAGGTTCAGCTGGCCTGCCAGAAATATCACGTTAAGGATTATTTCTCTCAAAATACAAGAGCAGCTCCCTATTAAATCAAAAAAGGTTAAATTGAAATTCTTTAACCTGCCACTTAAGGCCCTTAATCAATGCCCCCAGGTTTACCCAAACACTTTCTCCAAAATGACCCTCCTGGACTTACACAGCCACTGTGTCTATAGTCTGCCCAGCCTGGGTTTAGGACCTCATTCTCAGTTTGGTACATGCTGTTTTCCTAACAGCATACTAGTATATATTTTGTCCCATGTTGTCACACCCATCTTTATGATGTTGCTTTATTACAGCTGTCTAGATTTGCAGATATGCCTTTATTGCAAACTGGAGAAGGTCATGACCTTTACTTCTTTTGAATTTCCCTCGTTGCTGAGGATGTCATAGGTCTGCAATAAATTCTTATTAAGACCATAAAACAATGGAATTTGGATGAAGCTAGTAAGAATGAACAATGGACCCTATAAAATAACAGTTATAGGAATTTTATTAATATAGCATTGAGGGCTCTTCAAGAATTTGGAGAAAAGATGGAAAACAAGGGGCTACATAAAGTCTACACACTTAGCAGTAAAATTTCTAGCCAAGTTTCCTCATCCGGACAGAAAACTGTGATGCAGGGTCGGTGAGCTGAAGAGTCAAAAGAAAGAGTTCTTGGACTCTCAAGGTCTGGCAGTAGTGCTCTTTTATTTAGAGAATAGTGTGGAATAGCATGGGGACAGTACCCATTGGCAGTAAAGAGCTGCTGCCATGGGGACAGGACCCGTGGGCAATCGAGCTGCTGCTGCCATGGGGTCAGGACCCATGGGCAGTAAAGAGCTGCAGGAGGCATGGGGACAGGACCCATGGGCAGTCAGAGCTGCTGCTGCAAACATGGGTTGAGGGTAGGGCTAAATTTAGGGCATAGGTATGTGAGTTATCTCTTTACAAAACAAAGAAAAGAATATGTAAAAAAAGTTGTTAAAATGGTATCAGTGCAGGCGGGGTCTGGTTATTGAGTGGTCCTATAATTTTTAGATAAGAATCAAACCGGATTAAGTAAATGGCTGAAGCAACCACCTTAAATATTATTTTTAGCTACAGACAAAGGAGGATGTTAGGGGTGGAGGAGAGGTCGATCATGGTAGATTACCACACAAGTACAGTAAACAAGATGCAGATTTAAGTCCTTGCCTTTGGCATTGATTAAGAGTTTCTAGAGATAGGGTCATCCCCCCTACTTCCTGGTACAGAGAGGGAGACACCTTTACAAATGGAGATTTCCTTTACAATGTAAATGTCTCTTAACAAAGGGTAAGTAAATTCTACTCCTCAGAGCCTCCTTCCCGTCTGCAATTTTTAAAAGTAACCAGTCTAAAATACTCCTCATCAACTGGAGGATTTTTTTCTGAAAAGAGTGAATGTCCCCAGGGTAAAAATACCTTCAAAAATTGACATTTGTGGTTCCCCAGTGAAATTGCCAGCTTGCCTTTCTATCACCTTGTGATAAACCCTACTAGTTACGAACACTATCCATGCACACAGCTTATCATCCACTCTTCAGTGTCTTAGTCTTAAAGGAACCCATAAGGATCCATAGGTATTTGAAGAAAGACTCCAACATGGAATAGAAGAGAAAAAGGACTTAGGGAAATCAGAGGCTATGCACTAAACAGAAGAAAACTTCAAAAAGCAACTCTAATATTTTGAGAGTAAAATATGTTATAACTATGAAACAAGAACAAGGCAGTTTATGAAATTAAAAATGACATAGCAAAATGTTTTTTAAATCAATGTAAATTTTAAAAGATAAATGCAAAGAATTTCTCAGAAAGTAGAACAAAAGAAGAGGTAGAAAATAGAAAGTTATGGAAATCAAATCAATTTAAGAAAAATAGAGAAATAGAAATACAGGTGCAGTGGTGGAGACCATGTGACTCTCTTCTTGAGTGAAGATGCTTCACCCCCTGGGTCAGGGAGGGAGGGTCTTTGTAAAATGCAGATTTGGATTCAGCAGGTCTGAGGTCAAACTTGAGATTTTGCATTTCTGATGAGCGCCTACATGATGCCTGTGCTGGATCCATGGACCACACTTTTGACTATCAAGGCTGTGGTCTAGGCCTTCCAGAGAAGGGAAGAATGAGAGAAGGGTAGAATACACCCATCACTGATGACTAACACTCATGTAGAGTGAGGCTGTGAGACCCCAGGGGATGGTGGATGTTCCTCAGATCTCTGTGCATCCACTCACTATCTTTTCTCCAAAACCTCCCTCCCCCGATTATTGTCTCTTATTTAATTATTGACAACTCTCTGTTTCCAATTTCTCAAGCAAGAAACCTGAGCATCAACTCCCCCCTCTCTCTTAATGGCCCAAATATTTTTTTTGGTAGATCCTGTTTCCTGAATGTCTCCGGCTCTCTCTGCCCACTGCCTTAACTGGGACCTCCCCAAGTCACATCTCTTTAATTGTATCCAACCTACTCACAAACTCTGGGTCTGAGACTTGGCTCCACAAGGATGCTTGTACAATGCAAACATGACCACGTTAATCCTCTGCCTTAAATACTCTCATACATCTCCATTATTTAAAAGCAAAATAAAATCTAAGCTCATTACAATGGCATTTCAAGGTCTTTCTTGATCTGACTTCCTGTTTATTTAAAAAATTTCATCTCCCACAAATCCATGCTTTTCTACCCATGCTGAACTCTTTCCTAACTGGAAAGCTTTGGATGTACCATTTTCTCTGTCTGAAACTCCCAGTCCCACCACATTGCCAGGAGAACACATTCATCCTATAAGACTCAGCTGGGCTCCTGGGAAGCCTGCATTGCCCTTTCTGTTTTTTATTGGCTTTTTTCAGTTTGTTTTGTGGTCCTTATCAGTGTTCTGATTACAGTGATCCCTTCTTCCCCAGCAATTCCCCTCATGTGAAATTCTAATATATTGGAATTTACTTTCATGTACCTTTTTGATTTGTGAGTCATTTGTGCATTTCATTTGTGTATTGTGTTGATGATTACTAAAAGTGGGGGAACTGAGGATTCAAAATATAAAAGGCAGGTGAAGTGGATGGTGCAGAAGGCGCAAAGATTGCACAAAGATGTCTTGGAGAAGTTAAGGGAAGAAGAAAGGAGAAGATAATTCTGATGTTCATCATTGCATTCTGCTGGTTTTATAAGGAGGGAGGGAGGAAGAGAAGGACACTGAGAATTCTGTAAGAAGAGTTGTGGGGCCAGGAGGAAGAAGAGGTAGGAAGGTGAGACCAGGAGGCAGGATTGGGATCAGAAGTCAAGAGGCCACGAATTATTTTTATTTGTTTATTTATCTTTTGAGAAAGATTATTCCTGAGCTAATATCTGCCACCAATCCTCGTCTTTTTGCTGATGAAGACTGGCCCTGGGCTAATATCCATGCTCATCTTCCTCTACTTTGTTTTTTTTTTTTAAATATGTGGGATGCCTGCCACAGCATGGCTTGACAAGTGGTGCATATGTTCTCACCTGGGATCCTAACCCGTGAACCCTGGGCTGCCGAAGCGGAATGTGCAAACTTAACTGCTGCAACACTAGGCTGGCCCCAGGCCATGAATTATTGATTAGCAATACAATGAACATACTTATGGAGAAACATTTATAACCCTAATTCCATTTACCACGTGTAATATCTGCAACAAAGCAAAACACATTTGCAGGCAACTTGTTGAAGATATGAGACAGTGAAGGCTGGTAAGTAGAAATCAAGAGTACAACGGACGCCTTTACAAACTCAAGATGTGTAAATGTCATTGATATTATCAGTGTTCAGAATTAATAATTTTATTTTAATGAATGCAAAAAAAGCATGTAAGGGCTTTCTTCGGTGTACTTTCACACTTGGTCCCCTCCCCGAGACCGACAGCTCCCGGAACAAACCCTGTCCTCGTTTCCTCAGCTCCACCTCAAGGAAGAGATTGTTCCCTTTGGAGGAGCAAGCCCCTGCTCTCTCAAAGACTCTTGGGTTTAAATCTAATCTTGCTCTCCACCCACCCATGTGGGGTTCTTCCTTGCTCCCTGGAGCCGCCTTGTCTGGTTCTCAGACATCATTTACCTTTGCCTCACTCCCGTAGCTGCCGGTCAGCTATCTGTCTTCCTCCCTTAAAGTCCCCAATGCATGTCTCTGTTCTGGAATCCCCTTCTATAAGAGGGAGGATTAGACGTCCCTGATTTTCCTTGTACCCAAGATTTTAAACTCAACTGTGAATTCTTCTATCATTTCTTGCTTGAAGGGACCCAAACCCAAGAGGTGGAAGAGGAAGGAGAGGTATTATTATGTTTATTTACATGATAGTAACAGTTTATATTTAGTGGACATTTATTACGTGCCAGAGACCAAATGTGCTAAACCTTTTACACACCTTCAATACTGTTATTTTAATCTTTCTGTTGATGAAGAGACAGGGTCATGTGGTAGGAAGTGATGGAACTAGACTTCAAAACCAGATGAGTGAGCTTCAGAGCCCATGTTCTTACCCCTTCAACTGTATGGTCTCCCCTGGTCACGACCTTGGAGGGAAAAATCTGCAATATTCTACTTTGTATTCCTATCATTTTGTAGCATGTTGAATACATAACGGGCACGTACAGAATATTTGTGGAATGCATTCTGGATCGGGGGGAAACAGGAGCTTTGCTAGTCAATGAAAGGATTTGAGGTCTATAGAACAGTTACCTTGGGCGGGGAGGGGGTGGATTACTTACCTTCCAAGTCTGAAAGTCACGGATTCTAAAACTATTTCAATTTGTCTTTGCTGAAGAAATTCCAAATAAGGCAGGCAAACAGAATGAC